AAAATTGCATTTTCTTCTCTCGCTAAACCAAAGTAGTATACTATGGTTCCATACAATGTTCAACTTCTAGGTTCTCTATCAAATATAAAACACTAGTAGCAGGGAGTAAAATAAAGAAAATTCACAGCTAAATGTGAAAGTTAGTTTTATGATCCCAATGAATCAGAGGTTAGTCATTTACCTAGACTTTGCCTATGTCTGCAAATCTTCATATGGCATGTATTTCGGCAATCACCGTATTATGTGTTTCTTGATAAACTCCAAGTAACAGAGAGTATTTCTGACCTAATAAGATGCTACTTAGAGCATAAAAAAGTGTCTGCCAAAGAAATAAATGTATTCTGTGAGAAGCTGGATGATAACAAACCATCACTGATCATGGAACCAACATAAAAGAGATCCCAGACTTCTGCTAAATCACTGATACCACGTTGCATTATTCAGCCACCCTGGTACCAGTGGAGCTTTGTGTCTCAGGATACTGTGATTCAGTCTGCATCTGCTGAGATGACTTACCTAAGTATAGCTGGGGAAAACATTACACCATGAAGATGATCTAAGTTAATGCATTTCCATCTTACAGGAGAGACTCAAAAATGAAATTAAGTAATCTCTTGAAATGCCCCAGAAGTCTTCACTGAACTGAATGAATAATGAGACTGGCATCACATTAGGACTGGGAGACTTTTAAGTCTATGACAGTGATGGATATCGTTCATGCTCTATTGTCAACAACAATTAAAACTATAAGTTTGATTTCATTCAATTAAAACATTCCTATTCCTAAAATCCACACTATTCTGGTGTTATTAAATCTCATGCAAAACACACAGCCTTTCCCCACATACCATGTTTTGATGTTCTGACAAGTAAAGCCAAGAAGTCTCCTGGCCTTTATTCTTACCCCAAATCATCCCTGAAATAGAAGGTGTACTTTATATTTAATGTTTCTAGAGCTGAGACAAAGAAATAATTTCTCATAACTTTAAAAGAACCTCATTCATCATTTTATTAAAATGATGGTTTTTATTTCAAACTCCACAGCTTTTTTAATGTGTAGAAAGTCTGTGATATTTACCATTATCTTTATTTTTTTTTTTCAATTAACTTTAAAGAGATCAGAATTTTTAATTTCTAAAACATTAGGTCTTTTTAAGATGTGTCTGTAACACAATTTAGTAGACATCTGCTAACATGCTTCACAAGCAACTCAGCCACATCAATATTTTTGTACAAGTCAGATCATCTATTAATTCATGTGCTACTCAGAGAACAGAATTTGCAATGCTTTGAAATAATTAAAATGTGTGATCTACATAGAAAAGTTCCAGAAAAAAATATTTAACTATGAAAACCTGCATATCTAGGAATGCAATACTTCAAAAAAAATGCTGTACTTATTATAATGCATTTTCATGACTCAAATCCATTTTATTAAAATTTCCTCAAAAAAACCTAATAGGTTAAACATATATCAAAAGAGTAAGCCATGACAGTTTCTTTTATAACTACTTGAAAAACTTGCTTGATGAAGTAATTAACACCTAACTTTTAACATCATTAGACTATTCAGTTGGAAGCCAGGTAGCATTCATGGAAGTTATTCTCTAGTCAGTGATATTATATATTTACTGACTTCATCTATTTGAAATAGATTTAATACTGTGTACACAGTATTTCACTGAGCTATTCTATCATTTTACAGTGAGCTCTAGCATAGACCATTATTCTTCGATTTAGAATGTAATTTAGAATACGTACATAAAAATACATTGTAAGAAATGAAATTACTTGATATAAAACTTCAGAAACCATTACAAGTTGTCTTACTGTCTGTATATACATTTTATATAATGCAGTCAGCCAACATTAGTCAGACTGTCCTAGAATTTTGTATCTAAAAGGACCTCAATCAGTAAGAAATTATAGTCAGTATTTCATTTTTCAGAGATGAGTTTCAAGGTAAAGACACACATATTATTAGTAGTTCAAAATTATGGCAAGTAACAACAGTCTGCAATACCAAAAACTATAATATGATTATCATATCACAAGCCTTTCAGTATTTTCTTCCCAGGTGGTGCCTATATACTGTATATAATCTGTTAGACTGCTCATTTCTACCCATTTCAATGCTTCCAGAGGAGTCAATCTATCGTAACACCTCTAAGGAGCAAATAGTGTATGACAACAATAATAAGGGATATCAATATACTGTTTTGAAAACAAAAGGATCTCGAACTCTGGAGTATATATATCCTATACTGTCATCTTCTGCTTTCTTTAACACCCGTATTTTGTGGTCCTTGTTTAAACACACATCAGTGTCTATTTTCCTTGTAGGTGGTGGATATTAATACGAGCAGTGCCCTTTGAATTCAGAGTCCTCTGTATCGATCGTCTTTGCATCTGGAACAAGCAATAACCAACATTCACAAGGCATAGGCAGCCCAAATCCTGAATAGATTTTACTAGCACACTAACAATTATTCAGAAAGAAACTTAAGTAATAAAAGGTACAATGTTACAGTAACATTTCAGTTTAACCTTTCTTCTGGGGTAACAAAACACTTGGATGGATGTAACACTTCATTTTGTCACATATTTTAACCAGGGAAAAGGGAAAGTTTTTACAGGCAAAAAGCTAGGATTTTCAGAAACTACTTTCCTTTTCTAAAAAACCCTAGGAACCAAAGGAAGTAAATTTCTCATTTGTCCTCAGAAGGTGTTAATTAAACATGATTTAACATTTTCAAAATCTTCTTAGCTCAACTATACTTACATTGTTATTAATTGGGATTTAAGTGGATGATGCCTCCCTTCTCCATAAATTACATTTCGATCTGGACTAAAGGTCTGCATTAATCATGGTTCAAAAGTTTATTAGCAAGTCAGTTCCTAAGGCCTTTACAGAAATAGTGATTTATGGTGAAGTTCAGTAGAATCATATGGCAATACATTCATTGATTCATTAGAAGTCTTGAATGCACTTAAATTAGGACTACAGTTCATAAACAAATTTCCTTATATAAAGATGTTCCATTTACAAACACCTTCAATAATTGATTTCTAAGCAGTGCCTTATTTTACTTTGATTGCCGCTATCTTTGGAAGTCCATGGATCATTATGGTTTTGGCAGAGTTATAATATTTAAACAATATTTTCCCCTAGAATCAATGATTCAAAGAGTAAGTCAAATAGTTCACTAAAATAGGGATTATTCATTGATTAGCATTCAAAGAAACAATTTGATAACATATTCAAAATGCTCGAACAGCATAAAAAAGGCTAATCCAGTTCTAACACTGTTTTATGAAAGCTGCTATACATGACAGAAGCCTACATTTTTTTCTTACAGTTCTTTCTTATTTGCATGAATAGCGCATAGCCACCAGGTCCAGTGAAGCCATCCTTCACCTTCAATGAGTAATTGCAAGACCACCTCCGCGAGCCCAATTTTGAGCTGAGTGCAGTTCTGGGTTCCCCAGCACAAGACAGACATAGACAAAATGGAGCAAGCAGAGGGCCACCAAAAAGAGAGCTGGAGCGTATGATGTAGGAGGAGAAGGTGAGAGACATGGCTGTGTTCAGTCTACAGTAGAGATGGCAAAGGGGAGGCCTAGTTCCTGTCTACAACTACCTAATCAGAGAATACAGAGAAGATGGAGCCAAACTCTTCTTTGAAGTGCACAGTCGTAAGACAAGATACAAGTGACACAAGTTGGAAAATTCTGATTAAGTATTAGGAATAAAACATTTTTGCATGAGGTTAGTCAAACACTGGAAGAGTCTGTCTAGAGGCCTTGTGGAATCTTCATTCTTGAAGAAGTCTGAGATTCACCTGGACAACCTAAGCCATGAGCAACTTCATCTAACTGGGCTGGCTTTGGGCAGCAGGTCAGACTAGATGACCTCTGGAGCTCCCTGTTTGTTCACTAATTCCCTGTTTATGATCCTGTGTCTGCACCTTCACCTGCTTAATGGACATCTCTGAATAAGGGAGTACAGGTAGCAGCCAGAAATAGCACTTCACAAAGGATTACTTTGGCCTTATGCAACACACAAGGATTTTCTCAGAATCATTTTATTTCAGTAATTTTCAAAATATTAATATTAATGAAACTCCAAGTTTTGCTATTAATATTCATTAAGTACGAGGACATAATAGCTTAGTTTGGCAGTGAACAAAAAATACAAGCCCAGAACAAACTGAGCTAAGTACAACATCAGATGTCTCTGGAGTCACCAGACCTTTCAGGAGTGAAAGGGAAGGATAACGCACTGATTATCTATTCTGTGCAATAGTGATATCATTATATTGTCAAATAAGGCCTGCAGGTGGATTTTCTATATGCAAACTGAATTTTTGTCTTTTTACAGAGGACTGGAAACAATCAGTAAAATAATGCTGCAAAATAATGATTACTGATTACTGATTATCATATCAATTTATAGAAATTAATCCAGCAGCAACAGTAAACATATCATAACAAAAGCATTTGTCTACCAACATGCATTATATTACAGAAAGAAGCAATCAGTAAAGCAAGATAACTTCCCATTTAGCTCACAGTAAGACATATATTCTTATTTAAATAAAATAACCACAGCACAACACATCCAGCCTTCAAACATGAAAATCAGAGTTCTGAGTCTGTATATGGATCTACTGTATATGGATATTCACAAAATAGTCTTGCTAATGTATATGTAGCTTATTTTTTCTTTCATTCTTTATATTAATTAATACAATGAAACTATTTCTTGGTAGGAAAGCATTATTATGAATGTTGGCATTATATTTTGGAAGGATTAAATATGCAGTAAAGCTGCATCTTTGTCAATCTGTCTTCTCAGTGTTTACGCTGTGGTGTTGCCTGTAGTTAAAAACAACCATAGCAAAAAGAGCTGAGAAGTTAAAGAAACAAAGATCAAATGTCACCAGCATACATTCAGATCATTTTCTTAAGCACATGGAGAATACTGTTTAAATGCTTACCTTAACTATCCCACGGATATGCATTTTTGCTATCATCTCTGCAGTGTAAAGGAACATCAGCAGAGTATCAAGAGCAAATGTCACATATTGGAGAGGAGGATAATGCTCAAAGGTCTTTGGAGTGTTCATACAAACAGAAATAACACTGATGATGGCACAGATTCGTAGTAAAGAGTGTACCCACTGAAAAAAAAAGACAAAACATTGTGAGATTGCTTTGATGTTCAAAAAAAGTCCAAATATTTCGCCTCCATAACTTGTACTGACACTTTTTGTAAACGCATGTTTGCATTTTTGTTTTACTTCAAGACCCACACATTAAAGGTCTTCATCCAAAAATAAACCCACCTGACTTTATTTTACTTATTATATATCTATATATAATTTTATTAGTTAATTTGGAGGTTGTATAATTCAGAAATCAAGAATTAAGATCCAGGAGACTGAGAATTAGGATTCTATCATTTCTGCTTTGCAGCTTTTGTAATCCAATTTCTTTTCAAACAACAACTTGTCGCATTTATGTGCAGACAATAAGTAGAGTTAGTTGATGTTATAAATTAGGTGAATAAATTAAATGAAAATATCTATGGAAAACTTTGGTTCCACATTTAGAGTAACTGATTTTTAAATCAGTTTACAATTCCAAAACTTAAGCAAGAGGTACAGGGATTAAAAGCATCCTTCCATTTATGAAAAGAATAGATGTGAAAGAGACCATGTCACAGAAAGCTACTTCTTAACATCAGGATTCACATTTGCTCCAAATACGTTTTGTTGCTGTAAGAGAATAGTTCATTTCTATGACTACTTAGGTCTCAGTTCCACTGCAATCATTAACGTGGCTGATATTCAGTGTAAATGACAGTGGGAGGTCTAACAAAAAAGTAGAATGTTTCAATACAGAGGTTTAAGGTTGTTTTTTTTCTTTTAAATCAAAACACCACTGAAACATCATGAAGCCAGACAAGTGTAATGAATCAGAGTTGATAAGGTCATGTCTACCAAAACAAGAGGAAGAAAAAAAAAAAGACATTCAGCAAGAAAAAAGTTCTCCAAACAAAAACCACTGAACTAAAGTGTATTTATAACAATGTTACATCTGGGAAAAAATTCTATGCTCATTTACACCATCTCAGACCTTTTGATATCAGGAAGATTTAAGAACACTCACCTAATTCAATACTCATTGTACGCTTACCTAAGTGTAATGATAATTGACCTGAATTGAATAGCTCTACCATTTGCATACTCTCAGCTCAAATTAATTTGGAAGTGGAAGGCACCTGATGAATGATCTCTTCTGTCACTTTAACACTCACTGTGTTCCAAACCTTCTTTCAATTGAAAAAATTAACATATATATTAAAGTGCGGCTGATAGAAAAACAGTTCTCTGCCACAGTAAAGTGTTGTTATTATACATGCTAAGCAATATACAACTAGTCCATCAGCATGGCAAGAAAAAAATTTTCCACCGAAAATCCGGGTGCTTTGTGCTGGGAAACACAGGTAAATAACCCAGCATATATTTCTGCTATGACTTTTTGATCTTATTACTGCAGTAAATATGAACATTCTACTTAAGATTATTTAGCATGAATTAATATCAGACAGTTGTCTTGTAAATGAATTAGGTGTTTAAACACAATAGCAAAGCTGAGGAGATCTGGCATCCATACTGCAAATGAGATTATAGTTCTGTTAAATTAATGTAATGCCTACAACGTTTATTATTTCAGAATATTTGACTTTCTGCTTTTACAAAGTAAAAATTTATACACTAAGAGAAATGCAAAAATGCCTTCTCTGCAAAAACACAAATCATTCAAAATATAAGAATCCCAGATGCACACTGACTGCTGAATAAATAATATAATCGTAATAACCATATTTGTATGTTAAAGGTATTTTCTTAATGCTGCATTCTATTAATAACTCTGCTCCCAGTGAAGCTTTCCTCAGTTTCAAATTGCTAGACACTGTTACACCTATCTGTTTCTTAGGGCAGGCTGTAGGTTAAATGATACTAGAAAAATGTGAGCTGTACTTCAAAATAACCAGCCAACATACATTTTTATATTCATAAGTGATGTAAAAGGAGAGATTTGAAATTCAAAAGTGCCAACTGCTGGCTACCGCTTTAGCAATTAAACGCTCCTTTTAACATCCTCTTCAAAAGCTCATTTTATAAATTTAACTTCTAATTTCAATAAATACGTTAGAAGCTAGAGACATTGAAAGGATTGCTGCTTAAAAAAAAAAATCAGTAGATGAAATGTTTGGCAAACACTGCTTGATCATCCCCATCAGTTTGAAACAACCAAAATAAACCTTTTTATTTAGTTTTCAGCTTTTTGTAGAAAATGAACTGGTAGATTAGCAATTATAGCTCAATGTTTGTTTCTGACAAATATCTATTTCAGAATCTTTTGTGGAAGTCGTATTTCAACAATACAAGTTACATTTAACTTAAAATTAGTAACTACAGAAAGAAATACCTACTGGTTTGTTAATCCACAGAATATCCGCATTGTCTGACAAAGATTCATCGGGACCAAAATCTGTAACTGGCTGGGCTTCCACCCTTGAGCTCTGTTTCCTTTTTAGCATCCTGAAGTTAACTTTTGTTATCTATAATCATGAAACCTCCTCGGGGAGAAACAAAGAGAAGACATTAATTCACTAAAACCATTTTATAATGTATTTTGAACAGTTTTATAAATAACCTAAAGCACTTTGTTTTCATGCAAACTGCTTTTGTACTTACCGATTAACAGGATCTTCATTTTATTGAAAAGCTTTGCCTATATAAATCACTGACAGGACTCTTGTTAGTTTAGAAAAATTTACATAAAGGTATGCAACGCAAACAATTACCAGAAACTTGGCAACGCTGGCAGAAAATTTATACCAATATGCAAAGAATGCTATTGCTGTGAACTCAAGCCCAGAGTAATCATTGGATGGATTTGACCTGGAGATATTTAATTTAATGGTGACATTTCCATTTATTACACTTGGCTAAGATAAAGCCCAACAAGCCAAAGGCAAACAGACAAAGTTAAACAGCCAACGGATGTTAATGTTCTTTACTGAAATCAGAAGAGCTTTTTTGCTATATACTACTATTAACATGTATTCTGCTAATACTTTTTTATGTTAGCCATCCAACAGGCAGAGAGCTGGCTGTCTCTGGGGTTTGTGCTGGCTCATGGAAACACTGTCCTTGATCAGCTGGAGAAAACAGTGGGCTCAGGACTGCAGAAGTACCCATGTGCTTGGTCTCAGCTGGGCTTTGCACCACACAGGCTGCTTCTTCACATCCAAGCACTAACCACCTACATATAGCTATGATGGCAAACATAACTCGTTAATGTTCTTCCAAGTCCCTCAGACTCTGCTTCTACTCCGTCTCTTTTCTCTCTCTCAGATTCAAGAGGTCAGCTCCTAATTCCCTTGCTACATTTTGAGGAGAGTGCTTTTGTGGTTTCTCCTATGGTGTCTCTCCACACATGACGAGCTCCATATCTAAGTTTCTTGCAAGCTTCTACAAACTTTTTTCAGTACCCTTTTTCATATCTGTCAGGAAACTAAAATTCCTGATTGTAATGACTGTGTCATCAGTACAACCTTGTGTTTTCCTGCCTATATGCACCTATGTCATATCTCCTGTCTAATACTTAATAACAAAGTCTGAACCATTGGTCTATATTCGAACAGGTCAAGGTCTTGGACTGATGCTCCCAGTTGAAGGAGCTGATATTATGTAGTAATTGTTTTTTTTTTAAATAAACAGAAATTATATAAAGGCACAAAATAAGGGACAACTTCTGACTTCACTTGTGTTGGATAGTCAGCCACAGCAACCTTACTACACGTGAAACTGGTAAGTTGTCATTATAAATATGCAAATTTTGTAAAATTAACATTATATACTAATATTCTTTCACTAACAAATGAAGACTGAAATAATACACACACAAGTGGTATGTTCTCTTAATCCTCATACTTCATACTCCGACTTCTATCTCACAACTGAATTCACTACTTTCTTCTCTTTAGCAATTTTTCCTGCTTTCTCCTATTTATTTCTAAGCCTAATGTACTGACCTATTTTCTCCACTTGGACTAAAGCATAACCAAAAATGCTTGAAGCCTCAGAGATATTGGTGTACGTTTTCAGGTCATGAAGCCTTAAAATGGCTACACTGAGTGCAGTGGTAAAAAGTTCACTGCAATGTCTTGGGAGTTGCATTTCTTAAGATCTTAGGGACAAAAAAAAAAGACACCTTCTCAAATGTTTCTTGCAAATATGTTCCATTGGAAGCTGTTACTCAAAAGCTAATAAATTAATTAACAATTTTATGTTTATAATTTCTGGTAATGGCTATGACAGTGCTTCTAGCAAACTTAAGAAAAACATAGCAATAAATACATGATCAATAAGGTAAGTACAATCAATAATTGTGAGAAAAGGCCCACTGACTACTGTTTTGGGGGTTTTTTTAGTAAACGACACTTTAAGTAACAAGCTATTTCTATTGAGGAAGAAAGTAGATAATTAGCAACTGGCTATTAGAGACACTCTGTTGTTTCTATGCTTTTCTAAGTATTGCTTATTTATACATCTGATGTGTAGGATGATTAGCCATATCCTTCTAATGAAATTCCTACTTACCCTTTTACCCAATGCTTTTTTTTTTTTTTAATTGATCTGGGCACAGAAAATATCATGAACTTTAGCCATCTATAACAGATTCAGTTCACATACCTAAATGTTGTTATTTTTAAGAGGTGGCCTTGAATAAACAAATTGCCATGCATATAAATACAATGGAAGGGAAGAAATGTTTATGAAATAGAAGAACCAGCTTGTTTACTTCTCTACTTCAAATAAGCAGAAATGATCACCAAAAAACAGAGACCACAAGCCAAAAATCTTCTGGAAATGGACTTTAGCAAGATTATTCAAAGTACAGCACAATTCCTCTCAAGCTTTTATGCAGTTTTTTGTTGTTCCCACTACTTTCATTTTTCCAGGGAACACACAAGCTTTTACACGTCTCTCTTACTGTAGAGCAACACAAAGCCCAGTGCAGCTTCAGGACTCTGCTGTGTGCGTAAGACTTTTAACTCTTGGACTCCAATCCCTTTTGCACCTCTTTCTGCAAAGGGAAACCAGCTGAAAGATGAGGAAGAGGATGGGGGCTGTGCATCACTTCCCACCCACATGTGACATGCAGTGAGCACCACACCAAGCTGTGCTAATGGGAAGCCGCAGTCCTCCCTAACCCCGACCACAGATCCACCCTTGCAGTTCCCGCGTTGATTGCGACACACATCATTAAGTCTTTCTTTGGTCACAACCTGTTACTAACATGAAAGGCTTAATATATTCTCTAGGATATATTTCTAGCTCCAGAGTTTTTAAGAAATACTTGGTGCAGGGCAAAGACAGTTTCTGAGACAGGAAAATGTCATGGAGTCTTGGGGGTATATCCACTTCCCATTCCTTTGGAGTATTTTCTTTCAGTAGCAATGGAAGCTACGCACCGCAGGTGTCAGTCTTCTCAGGGAGGAATGTAATGGCTTTGCTTTAAAATCTCTCCTCTATTTTTAGAAGCAAAGATAAATTAAAGGAATAAAGCTAAATAGAAAATTAAGCTCCTTCAGATCCATTTGGTCATCCTTTTCTCTCCCTCTCTCTCCCTGAACTTGCAGGTATGTTCAAGCAACCACTACAATGTCTAAACCACCAACAACCACTACATTTGCAGCTTCTGCTGAAATGAAAGTATACTAACATAATAGTTCCTGAACTTAAGACCCACTGTGCACTTGGGAAAAAGAAGTCTGAAGAAGGTCTGATTCCAGTTTGTGATATCCACACTGACCACAAGACACTCCTGCTGATGGAAGTTTGCACTGCATACAAAAATCAAAAGACAAACTTTTAAAAGTAGCTGATCCTACGCAACAGCAAAAGATGAGAAATCTGTGTCTCATTTATAAAGCAAGCTCACTGCATAATCTGCCCAAGAAATCTCAATCACAAAGTCAGGAAAACATGTTTATAAATGCTCTGGTAGATAAAGGCAGCTGAAAAATGACTTAACAGAAAAATAAATAAGAAAATAAAGCAGATATTTCTACCTACAGCTTATGAAGAAGGTTTGAAAATCAGACAAATCCTTGAAATCGGCAATGTCTGGCTTCCAGCATGCCTCCTCTTCACTCTCTATTGACTTTGTCACCTGAGATCATGTGAGCACTGCCCGAAGGTCCTCCCAGGGCTGAGCACCTACAAGCACTCTCTTAACACCAATTCTCTCTTCTTTGAACCAACTTTTGTCAACCAAATTTTCCCAGAGCTGGGACACACAAAGTAGCACATACACTTTTAAGAGAATAATTATCTTTGAACCTTTTCCTATCTGGGAAAGCTAAAATGGGTGACAGAAAGAGGATGTGAACACCCATAGATATACCATGATGACAAAACTTAATTTCCCTATTACAAATTTTTAAAAAAATCTCAAACTAAAGGCTACCTTAAAGAAGAAATTGCTCTTAACCATAGTATGCATCATATGGCTATAGGAGAAACACAAGTTCTCATTCTTTCATCTCAACAGCCTTCTCCTTTCGCTTTTAGAAAATTCTTGCTGTTTCTCTATTGTCTGCTCCCTCCATCCCCATGATCTTCCATCCCTGCTTTTGGGTGCAGTTACAGGTGAATGACATTTCAGTATTTGCTTTTATGTATCAAAATGTTTGAATCAAGCAAGTTATAGACACAACAGTACACATATACTTAATTTTAGAAGGGTAAAGACAGAATTCCAATGGATACAATCACATAGCACATGCCACTGTGGATGTTACTAAGCCATAACTAGTTTCAAGGAAAACCTTATTTCAGTACTTTCTCTCTGTGTGGTATTGTTATTGCATCTGATAATATGTCCTGAAAGATCTCTCAGTTATTCTGAACATATTATACTGCTGACCAAACTTCAGTATTTATTAAAACCAAACAGGATTCTTCACAAAGAAGGCATGTTGAAGGAAATATTCTAAAAATCGGTTAGACTCACATTTTCACATAATTTGGATACACACAGGAAAGAACAGCTGGTGGCATCTTGTACTTATTAACAGGACCCCAGACCAAAAATACCAGACTGGCATTCGCAGATTGAGGAAATGTTTAAAAATTGCTTAAGCCTGCCAGTGTAAGACCATCTAGCCTGAAGATAGACAACTGTCCACACCTTAGCTCTTTGTTCCCAGCCCATCTCCTGTGTCTTGTCTTAACATTAGCTAAGGATGATACTCACACAATATGTATTTCTTAAGTAGTTCTTCCTCTCAGACCTAGCCAAAATAATTCAGCAGACAAAATCAAATACCATATTGCATACAAAAGCAGATCCCATGTGAGCCAGATATACAGCCTACCACTACTATCAAATAATGTCGTATCATGAGTCCTTTTTACTATAAGCTTTCTAGCATTTGAAAGATACAATTTTGAAGAATCTACGCATATATACATGGTGCCGTGATGTAGCCAGATAATCAGCTTCATAGTTTTAAAAAAAATTTGT